GCTGTGGTGAGTCGTCATTTTCATGCACTTTGAATTTGCGTTGTATTGTATTTTGAAGGCATTAAACATTGCCGTCGCGATCGGAGTGTTGCGGCCAGATTAGACGCTCTTTGTGTTTATTATTATATTTCGAAAACGCCACAGTTTTCATGCAGCTCATACCATCTTATTTTGTTGTATTATTTCCGCCACACCTTAAATGCCGGTCCCTGAAAATATTGTCTGACATAAACCGGTCCGTGGGGCAAAAAAGGTTGGGGACCCCTGCTTTACACTGTTACACTTCAAAACAAGTCTAGACGTTGCCATTTTTGCTCATGCCCCCCCCCCCCAAAAAAAAACCCAAACAAACAAAAAACAGTGGTACAAACAACATGCTTTGAGGCCTGCAGAAAACGTAGAGAAAGTTGAGCGACTTGTTGTTTCACTTAAGTCCTTTATGGCGCTAAATTGCCTTTCAAACTGTTGTCGACTGTCAAAACAAGTTCAGACATTTCCAAACTCAGAATGGTGAACACCTCAAAGAAAGAGAGACACCTTTCAAAAAGTGATTGTTGACTACAGGTTGTTTGTTATACTTCAGTCCTGTCGCTAGCATGCATTTTCAACAGTAGCCCATAATCAAAACAAATCAAAACCTCACTCCGCACTTCAGCGTGGTAGGTGTTGTGTGTTTTAAGCTTGCTGACTGTCAAAATGAATCAAAAGGACATTTCTGCCTCTGTTCGATATGTACTGTCGCACTAAAGTCCTGTAAGTGTTGCTCGTGTGCATTGCGCTGTCGCAACAAATCGAGACGGCATTTGTCCTTTCCTGTGCGTCCCGAATGCCGGCGGTCAGGCAATGATCACGACGATGTGTCTTGACGCGTGCCGACAACTCAAAGAAAGACCTCGGCTACTCATAGACTTACTTAAGTCCTGCCTTTCAAACTGTTGCCGTCTTTCAAAACAACATATCCGGTGTACTCCAGTCTATCACTCAATTAGCTCGTTTGTTCATTGGCCGCCTTTCTACAATAGAAAGTGAAATCGAGACTTTTATTGGTAATCACTTTAATTAGGCAACTCCAAGGCCAATTTCAATTTTTATTTTTGTGGTGGTGTGCTTTGTGCACAGACATATTGTTTTAATTCCAACAGCGTGACTTTCTGTTGTATGGTGCCATTATGGCTTATTGGGGTCAGTAAATGTGAAAATGAAACCAAATTTTTTTTACATCATGGTTCCCGTAAGGGATTCGAAAATTTGGACAAACTTGCCTAATCGTCAATGTCCTGTGAAAAACACATTTTTGTATGAAATATGGACATTAACAAAAAAAAAATAAAGAATTTTTAATGACAAAAATGGACTTGTTTTCACAGGACAGTGATGATATGCTAACAACTGACGCGTGTCCTAACTTTTGACAAGTATGGAATATTTAGTATGCCAACATGCTTTAAACAAGTTTTTTTTAAATGAAGGAAAGCAAGAAAAAGCAATATTTAAATATATATTATTTCAGCACTATCTGACTGTATCCCAGAAAATGATGTTAAGTTATGACTCTGAAACTGAGGTTGTGCTCTTGTGAAAAGCAGTGAATAAATGATTGATGTTATTTCTTGTTTTCTGTTGTCCTTATGATAATTTTTTTTGTTTAACTTACAAAAGAAAACTGTTTAAGTGGTGTTCAATTTTATATAAAATATAAACTGATATATCTAAATCTATAAAATGACCTATACTGATTTCGTACAAGTTGTACAGAGAGCATTGCAGTTATATTACTCATAATAATTCAATTCAGTCGAAATTGTATTGCAGGTAAACTCCAAGAATTTGGTATGATTTTTTTTTTTTTTTTAATGCCGACTTAAAAAGCAGTTAAGGTGCTCGCAAAAACGTAGTAAGATTTGTGCAAAAAGCAATGCAGTGACATTTGAAAATTTTAGTAGCACTCTCTACAAAATGTAATTTTTTAAAAATAGATCTGATGCAATCAAATGATTAGAATTTAGTAGAATATGCACAAAAAGTAAAGTGTTGGAATTTATGCGGCAGCTGTCAAAACTAATCAAGACGGCATTTTTACTGTGGTCTCTGAATGCTAAAAGCAACGCAACCACTGAAGCTTTTGTCTGTGGTGCTTTGCGTTTGCAATTAAATGACGCGGAAATCCAGATGTTGTCAAATGGCATCCACTGAAAATGGAGGTCATAGATTCATGTGTGCGTTGTGCACCCCTGGCGAGAGACGCACGTGCGCACACAAACGCACACGTTTTGCTCGCTACTTGTTGGTGCGCCTAAAAGGCCGACTCTGGTTACCTTCCAAATCTGCAAGCATGTGTTTGTGTTGCATGTGTGCGTGTGTGACTTATAGCATACGGCCCTCGCCAGGGACAACAGCCGCTCCAGGGGGTCTGCCTGTTTACATACTGCTCGCATTTATTTTTGGGGCTTTCTCGTGACAAACTCACGCAACAAACGCTGTACCATCAATAAGAGCACCTTGACTCTGGTCACCAATGGGCTTTACAGTACTGTGCAAAAAAAAATGTCAGCGCAGTCTATTTTGTATCAATTGGGGAGTTTATATAAAAAGGCATGTAGGAACATTATTTCCAAACACTTGTATTTTGTAGGATTATCACCAGTCACATATGGCAGGGAAGTTTTCCTTCATTGGTGTGTTGCCATGGAGACTTGAAAGGATTTTGTCGGTTTCTGTCCCCCCCATCCAAAAAAAAAAAAAAATCCCAAAAGTGCAAAATTCGGCAGGTTTTGTGTAAAAAGGTCTTCAGTAAGATTTAGTTGTATTCTGGACAAATTATATTGTAGTGGAATTACTAACCATAATTTAGTAACCTTTATGCATAAACTGGCTCTCATTTCATAGCATTCTGCTTCTTTTTTTTTTCTTAGGCAGCGGAAGTGCAAAAACGTATCACATTTTGTGCAAAAGGTAATTCACTGAAGTTACGAACACGTATTTTGTTGGAATTTAATTTGCCAAAAGTAACCGTGAAATTACAAGAATCGACTCGGATTATGTACAAATTGTCACGCATTTTATAACATATTTATAACATATAACATATTACGTGAAATAATTGAGTAGGAATTGGACAAAAACTAATTTAAAATGACGAAATGGTAGTAAGACTTTGTCCAAAAACTGTCGGAGTGCAATGACTATGGCTGTAAAATCCATCCTGCGCCCAAGCCTTCCTGTCGTACTCCCTTGCCTTACAAGTCCCCCTCCCCCACTCAGCCCTTCACTCTGTCATGGATCAGAGAACATGTCGCAAAGTGCTTCGCAGGCAACACGTGTGCGCTGCACCCCTGCATACTGATGATGTGTCTCCGCAGCTTCTTCCTGCCTGTACTCCGAATGAGAATTTAGTAGCAAAGGGTACACGGCGTCAAACCCTGTAGTATACAAGTGGCACCTCGATTTAATAGGAGCATGACTTACATTTTTTTTTGTTTTGTGTTTCACCCTGAGTTAATCTTACAGGAGAACTTCAAAACTAATATTGAACCAAACGCCACGTACCAGTACGACAAAAGTCAGTTAGCTTCATGATAGCACACAATGCAAAGCACCATAGACAGGCTAATAAAACTAGCATCAGTGTCGCAACATCATATCCATTTTAGCAACGGATATTTCAATGGGGAATGTGCAACTCCTGCTGTGTGCGCATTGGCCGCTGGGTGCAGTACAAAACATGTCCATGAAGACAACAGACAAAACTGCTCGGTAAGCTGCAGTGATATTAGTTTGCAGATGATAAAGAATACATGGCATTGAAATAGCATGATGCACAAACTGTTAGACTCTTTACATTCTTTTCAATAATTACTGTATATTTTACAAACAAAATTGCCAAGTGCTATTTTCTTAAATGTTCTGATTAATAAAAACAATGCATTTTTTGGGGCGTCGAGGGGGAGATATTAATGGCATTTAGATTCATTTTAATGGGGAAAGATGATTTGGTTTTAATGCTCGAGAAATTAAATATGCATTATCTTGGTTGATGATACATAAACGTTTAAATGAAACCTCGTATTTTTAAACTATCTTTCGAGACTCCATGGCAACACATAAATGAAAGCAAAGTATCCTGCAAGAAGATAAAATCCATGAAAGCTCCAATGTTGACATCAACTCCAGTCTTCTTTAAAAAAAAAAAAAAAAAAGCCTCCCTTAATTGGTGTTCAGAGCCGTCAAGGCACTCTCGCGTGTCCTGGCCCAAATTAAACAGAAACTATTCGGAACATCTGTGCAGCAGGTGTGATCTTTGCAAGCGAAAGTTTTCAATTTCAACCTTTTCAGCGTCAAGTGCAGCAAAGGGAAGTGTCGTATCGTGAATCTCCGATAACCCCCGGGCCTCATTAGGCTCAAAGTAGAGCCCGGTCATACAGTTCTGTGAATATCTTTTAAGACTTTTTGCGCATGCCTTTAGCGCTTGTCAATGTGGACTCCTCTTGGGCTTTCCACACGTGACCTCTCGTCTTCTTAGTCCGCCTGGGGTGTCTCGTTGGGTCCAACCTCATTCCGGACCTCACCTCGTTTCCATGGACACCACAGAAATTTGGAGGCGCTCCAATCAGATGATTTCTCATCTTTTAGACAAGTTGTCCAACGG